GCGTAAGAGCGCAGGACTGGAGTGAAATTTCTACACTTAATGACCATTTATAATTTTTTTTTTGTTTTATTTAAAAGGATACAGGGAAATGTTATTTAGAGTTTGCATATTTATAATAATTTTATTTGGTAAATCTATACCTAATTACTCTTCCCTCTTGTCAATCTGATCGAAGGGTGGCGTATCAGCGAGCAGCAGGACATCAACCGTCTTGTAAATTGGGTACAAGCCGGCTTTTCTCGTCCTCTGGTTGACTCCATGCGAGAAACCGTCGTGGTAATTGCGATGCTTGTTGTAGTGACTCTGAGATTTCATCACACGATCGCCCTTCCGGAGCTCGATCTCGCTGCCCCTGGGAGGGGGAGAAAGGAGGGAAAAGAGGGAAGGTGAGACCGAGGGGATTTTCTGCGTGAGAAGGGGGATTGGGGGAGGTCTTTTTGTGTTGGTTGTGGTTATGCGTGGCTTTAAGGGGGGAGGGGGTGTTCGGCTAGCGGATGGGGCGAAAATTGTATGTGATTTTGTTTTTGTATCTGCTACATTTCTCTTCTTGAATAAGATATATAATTAAACATACATATATATGTATGTATACATATATATGAATATATATACGTATATTATATATATATTTATATCATACATATGTATATTATATATATATATATATATATATATATATATATATATATATATATATATATATATATATATATATATATATATATAATTAGAGAGAGTAAGGGAAGAGTAAAAAAAAAAGGGAAAGAGAGAGAGCAATACAAAAAGGAAGAGCTAGAAACAGAAAAACGGGTAGACCCACCTTCGAGGCGAGTGAGGGTACCTCGCCTCCACCTCGTGAGGGCTCTGGGAGTGGTAACAATAATGCAAATCCATGGAGAATAATTTCCTCGAGGCGTCCGAGTGGAGAGTTTGCATGAGCTCGTACGCTAGCCTACATATCTGCCCGAGGGTGAGGTAATGGTGATTTGAATAGCTTGTAATGATATGGTATAAGGTAATAGATTATGTTATTGCTATTGTCACTGTTATTATCATTGTGATTATTATTGTTGTTGTTTTATTGTTATTAATATTATTATGATCATTATAATTATTATTAGCATTATCACCATTATCATTATTATTAGCATTATCATCATTATCATTATCAGAATTTTTTATCATTATCATTATTAATCTATCAATATTACTATTATGAGGATGTAATGATTATCACAGATGATTATTGCAAAAACTGTTGTTTTTGTTACTATATTATTATTATCTGTATAACTTTTCTCGTGTTTCGCCATTTGACTCACGTGCACTTCTATGAATCAACAACAGTCTAGACAACCAACCTTGTTTCTAAGGCGTACCGAGTTCACTGAACTACACTTTTACGCCTAAAGCTCGAATGCATTGACTCTTTAAAGGACACTCAGTATGCTGCTCTTTTCAATAGGAGTATCTTTTTTCTCTTTTTACACGAAAAAAAAAATACTATAGCCCTTTTCAAATGCATCAGTTTTGCCTCATCCGCTACGCTTTCAAATATTACCACTGGGACTTATCCTATCAATACGTGATTTTATCGTTTTTATTATCATTTTTAGCCTAGCAGAACAATCGATACACCTGAAAGAAACTTTTATAAGATCAATTGGTGAAGCAATCGAAATGTCTTTTCTCTTCTTTTAATGACATTTGGATATGCTAAGTGCCATCAGTATCTGTTCTATTCTCAAGATCTTTCACATAGATTTGAAATTGTCAGCTGGCACTCCTTGTTATTGATTTAAGTAGCTCTGTATTGTCAAGGATGGGCCCTTAATGCTTGTTTGATACGAAGGGTTAATTATTGCACATTTTACCTGTTGATTATATTCTTACTTGTAAATGAGTCATCAGCGAAATCGGTTGCAAACTTTAGATGAATGACTATTGATATTAGTAAAACTAGCATTTCTTACAATAGATGTAAGCAATGTATTTGACAAAATTGTTTTTGTCAGTGAACAGATACACTATATATGACAAATGAACACAATAAACCTAACCACAATTACTTTGGTTCTACAATGACTCAGCACATGTTTTATTTACATACCTGTTAGCCATATTGGAGTAGAGCAACAATGATAATGATAATGTTTAAAGTAATAATGACAGTTGTACGGAAGATGGCGACAATTAAAATGATGTCATGGTGATGGCAACCTAAAATCAAACAGGATAGTACGTGATATTATTGATAATGAAAAAAAGAATAGTTGTAATGGTATGGTAATGACAGCTATTAATGATAGTGATATCGATGGTTTTAATGATAAAAAGATAACTTACATGTGACAGTGATAATATTAATGATAACGATATTATGGTTTAACATTAAAAAGAACAATACCTCCATCGCTCGGGGCACTTACATTAGACGACATGGGGCACACGAGGAAGTCAGAGCGAGAGAGGAAATAGATGTCAGCCATGAGGTTTCTCATGTTGGCTTCGCTCTCCCTTTGGCTCAAGCTGGCTGTGGCGACGCTCTCCTCGTTGAACACAAGCTCGTAGTTGGGGAATCTGAAGGAAAGAGTGGTCAGGCGTTAGATCTGGGATCGCGACACAACCCCACATCCAGGCTAAAGAGATACAACTGCTCAGAATATTCAGCCCAATGTCCATATACCTCAACATGAAGTTTGTACATGTGTGTATCTGTTGGTTTACACACACGCACACGTGCACGCATGGGCACGTACACGCACATACACACACACAATATATATATGTATATATACATGAATGTGTATATGTATGTGTGAGTAATATATATGTATGCACAGACGGACACGTCGGTTCTTTCACGCACATACTCAGTAAACGAACTTGAATATACGCCCACACACTAGACCCCAACGCTGCCCTAAGCAAATGCACACACTGACTTCGCCTTCGCTTCCTCGAGGACCTCCGGTTCGTCTGTGGCCAAGTAGATCCTGCGAGTCTTCACCTTCGTCCCTCGAATCTCCAGGTCGTCGAAAAAGTCGTCCACGACCTCCATGTATTCTTCAAGTTTTATGTGTCTCGAGTCGTAACGCAGCTTGTCCGTTCTCCTGACTTGTACTCTGCAAAGGAATGTCGACGAAATAAACTGCATATTTCTACTGCCGATGTTGATAACGATGATATTGTTAATATGACTTATAATAATAATAATAGTATTAATAACAATTATGATGACGATACTGTTCTTTTCACTGTTCTGGGTAAAGTTACCATAAAGCTTAGAATTATATTAATATCGACAAGACTACGCTAATGATAATTATCATAACGATTAAGGAACCTGAACGAGTAAATATGAAAATAATAATAGTAATGATAATGATTACAGTGATAATAAAAACAATAATGATAATAATGATAATTATGATGATAATAACAATGACAACTGGGATCATGTATGTATAATGATAATAGAAATAATATAAATGATAATGATGATAATAATGAGGAGGAAAAATAATGATGATGGCAATATTGATGATAATAATTGTTATTATCATTATAATAATAGTAACAAAAATAACAGTAACAGTAACGATGATAATGATAATAACAATAATAATGATAATAATGATAGTAATAATAATAACGGTACTGACAATGATAATAATAATAATAATAAAATAATAATAATAATAATAATAATGATAACAACATTAATGATAATAACAGTAATGATAATAATAATAGCAGTAATGATAATATTAATGATAGTAATACCTGTGATAATGATAATAATAGTAGAGATAATAACAATAACAATGATAATAACGACAATAAAAATAATAGTAATAATAATAATGTAAAAAACAGTTATGATAATGATGATGATAATAGTGATAATAATAATAATAATAATAATAATAATGTGATGATAATGATAATGGTAATGATAATGATAATAATGATAATGATTATAATAACGATGACAAAATGATGATAATAATCATTTATAATAAGGATAGGATAATAACAGTAATAGAAATAAAAGTGACAATATCAATAAAACCAATAAAACAGCAACAGCATTAATTGCCATAATACCACTGATAATAGCAATAATATTGACGATGAGAATGATAATAACAGTAACAATATTAATAACAACAACAATAATAATGATAATAATAGTAATAATAATACCAGTGGTGATGATAATAATAAGAACAGCGATGATAATAATAATAATAATAATTGTAATAGTAATAACAATAATACTGATAATAATAAAAATAACAAGAGTAACGACACCAAGGAGAAAAGCAAGAACGAAAATAATAATCATTATTACTAGGACTGTAACAATAACAATAAATATTGGGTACACGATAATGATGTACCATTAGCAACATTAAACCAAAAAATGAAAGAAGGAGAATACAAAAAAATATAGAAGACAAACACACCCACCCAACAATCGGACTCTCGTAGCCAAGACGAGCCCCTAGCTTCTCGACGTAGTCCTGGAATCCGTGGGTCATCCTCATGGCGTACTTGAAGAACTGCCCCATCCACCAGGCGAAGGGGTCGCCGTGGGCACTCATGAGGCGCTGGGCAAAGTCCCGTGGCACTGACCTCGGGAAATAGTTCGGCCGCGGTTCGGGTCTGTCATTGTCGGGAAACTGGATGACGAGCGTGTCTTGTTTGCCTGCGATAGAAAGAGCGTATGCTTTCATGCTTTGCGAGTGGATCTTATTTTTGTTTATAGAAAGGGGGGAGATGAAGTCAGAGGAAAGAAAGGGGCGGAAGACTCGAAGAAAGGGGTGGGGGCAGAGTAGCAGAAAAAGAGAACAGAATTTATGAGTCACACACACACACACACACAAGCGGAGTCCTCAGTTCCTGAAATGGGGAAAAAATATCGTTTTCAATTCCTTTTCGAGTTGCTGCTGTTATGATTTGGAGAAAAAAGGTGGAGGTGGATATAGAGGAGAGAAAGAGGTACAGTGAGATAAGCAGGTTAAACAGAAGGAGGGAATGAAAAAGAGAGGGACAAGAGAAAGAGCGAAAGAGAGAACCATGAGCAAGAATTGGTGTGCATGTGTGTGTATGTTCGTCCAACGACCTCCGGAGGAATTAGTGATAGCGTGATAGCAGAGGCTACACTTAGGTGTGCGTGTGTGCACACACGCACACACACACACACACATACATACATACACCCATACATACATACATACATACACACACACGCACACATATATATGTATATGTGTGTGTATATGTATATATATTCATATATATATGTGAATATATATGTATATGAATCCAACATGAAATAATAATGATAGGATGTATGATAAAAAATAACAGTAATAATTACAGTGATAGTAATATTTGTAATAAAAATAATAAGATAATAATAGAATAATTATAACAACAACATTAATGATAATAGTGATGATGATGATGATAATATTGATAATGATAATAGTAATAGTAATAACAACGATAATAATAATAGTAATAATAATAGTAATAATTATAACAATAATAATTATTATTATGATAAAACAGTAACACTGAAATAGTAATAATAAATATAATAACAATAGTAATAATATTAATAACAAAAAGCTAATAACTAGACAATATAGACGCCACATCCTGTTCCACTACACGTATCCCCCAAATCTCACCTGGCCACGCAGTGCTCTTATTATTGTAGGTACAGTTTTCACTGAGGGGTAGAAAGTAGGTACCCGTGCTAAAGTCCATGTTCGATGGCTTTTCATTAATAATGAGCGTTCTCTGCGTCCCGTATGAAGCGAGGAAGCAGTAGCTAATATGGTGAAACTGGCTGCCTATTCCTCGACCCTAGAATAAGAAATGTTAGTGAATTATTTTAAACTACGTTATAGAATGAAAAATGTAATTCCTGTTTATGCATTCATTACTATCATCATTTTTGTTATTATTATTACTATTATTATTATCATTATTATTATCACCATCATTATTATTGTTATCATTATCATCATTATAAGTGGAAATGAGTATTTTTTTTTTGGAAATGTGTTTTAATTGTGTTATTGAAAAATGGCCATGCACGGACTGAACTATTAGCCAGCAATTGTTTTGTTTGAGGTGAATTCCCATAGCCTTTAACCATGTACGGACTGCAT